AAATTATATGCGGAATTGAAACGTTTGTTGAATTTACTCGAATAATACATTCCATTGATTGTTGAATTAAAATGTTGGTTTATTGCTGAGTTGAACTATATGTATATAGATTATTTTTCAGCATAATATATAATAAATTGGCGTTCCATTTTCCAATACTCTGAAACAATATTTTTCTTCGGAATCAATAAAAGCTTCAAGTTATTTCATTACTCTTTTTTATTCAAATAACAATTTTATTCATGTAACATTTTAAATCAAGTGTCATTTAAAATAGAACAAATTTTGCGAACAATCGTTTTTAATGTGTCGAACAAATGCATGAGTCAATTAAATTCAAACAAATAAATTGTTAGTTGAATACATTGAGGAATGAATATTTGTGACAATGAAAAGTAAAATGGCGTTCCATAAGTAACTTTACCAGAAGTTTATCAAGACAAAGATTTGAAATCTCAAGTCTTTTTTTTCATTAATCAACGTATTCAAAAAACACTTTATTTTTTCTGTCCACACAATTTTGAATCAAGAGCAGATTATGCTCCTTATAAATATTTAAAAATTGGTATGAATGAATTACTTTTGCGATGAAATCATGACTAGCTGAGTTATATATGAGCATCAACTGAGTTATAACTGTCTCCTGCTTATACCATTTCCGTTGACGAAACGAGTGCAGAAACAAAAAAAATTAAAAGTTCATGTGGAGACCAAAAAATTTTGAGCCAAATCTAGGAAATCGTTACCTTGACACTCATCTAACTCCTCAATAAGGGAATTTTTTGGCTCCCTTCTTCAAAATAGTTACAGTTTTGGGGTAACAATATTTTCGAAAATGTGTTCATCAAAATGAAAGACATTTCAATATCATCTTCTGTTCAAATTCATTAATCCTAATAACTTTATTTCTGAAATATTCGGCTGTTACTTGATGAAGATCCATAATAATTTCATAAACTACACCTTACGATTTGATCTTCACAAACTGTATTCTCAAAAAAATATCACAACATGTTTCGTTATCACAATAGCTTTTTCGTAGTGAATGACATACTGCAAGTCATTCAATAAAATGTTTGAATTTTCAAGTTCATTAATTTCCATTGCTTCCAAATTATTAAGCTTTGAACCTTTATTTTCTATGAGTAAAATTTAAAAATCTCCGTTAAAGATATGATTTTCTTCTTAAAGATGAGTTGAATATGTTGAACTTGTTTTCTCATTTACATAGCTCATATGATATTCTTGAATGCGATTCCTGAATGTTCTGTCAGTTTGACCAATACCTTAGGACAAGTTCCACAATTTAATTCACATACTCCTGATTTCTCGAATTTGGATGTTTTGTCTTTATTATTTTAAACTTACCAACATGTCGTGATATATTTTTTGAAAATTAAGTTTATGGAGATCATTTAGTGAGGAGTATAGTTTATGAAAACCTAATAACCACCGGAACTGATGTGGGGATATCATAGATACAGAAAAAAATAGTTGGTCATGTACAGACCGATGATGATGACAACTTTAAAGTTTTGAATTACCATTGAACAGATAATGGGTTTTCGAAGTTTTATTTCCAAGTGTACTCACCTTGTTCTTTGACTATAATGCCAACGCCATGGAAAAATCCCTTGAACCTAGGATTAGCACTTCTTTGGTCATTTATGAATTTTACTTTAACAGTTTCCATTGGGGTTACTGCAAAAATAGCTTCCATTACTCCTGCTCCCAATCCGCACAATAACCTTCCAGGCACACTCAGGGTGCCATCAGGTTGTACCATACGGTTTTTGAACGCTTCAAATGACCCAAACCTATAAAACATGCATGACTATATTTCACTCTTCAACAAATTTGAAACATGTTCGTTCTAGAACAGGCGTTACTGCCATCACTTGCAACGTAGAGAACTGTATATTTCAACTTTAATGTGAATACTCAATAATTATTAATTTTTGAAATGATTCATTTCCTCATAAATGAACAACATCGGGAATGGGAATCAATGCTAAGAATAAACAATATCTGTTTAAAAAAATCTGTTTGAAATCTGTTTTTCCATTAATCAGCTGTCGCCCCCATACGCCCATGAATAGCTTTTTTCAAAAACATTCCACAGGCTGACCCTTTTCCCGAAAACCTAATACTTATACTAATATTATAAACCAAAGGACCACCCCCACTCTGTGAGGTGAGTAATTATCAATTCCACAAGGTTGTCGTTCCCCAAAGGCAAATTCTCAAAGAGATGTAGTTTGATTCGATGCGAATGGAAGGTATAGTTTGCTCGTACTACTGATTTGAACCACTTCTAAAATTAACTGTGAAGTGAAAGGCTGATTTGAACAATCCACTTGTGTTACTGGGAAAATTGGTTGGAATTTTGACTAACGACATAAACATAAAGATCTAGCAATTTTCCGGGTTATAAAGATCTGGGTTATAATGATCTAGATCTGTCCTCTCTAGTTAGTTTATTCTCGATTTGTTTCTTACATCATCAAACATAAAATGATTTTCGGAGTTGAGATTTTTGCATCATTGTTGCATCAGCTGCTCTTTTACTATTCTGAAGGCGCATTCAAAAATATGTTTTTAGAATCCATCATCCAGGGTTCGAAGAGAAATGGACAAGAAAAGCTGCAGGAGAACAGTAAGGGTTATATTTCTGGAATAGGGGTTGCGCTCATCTAGCAGGCTCTGAATATTCCTTTAAGATGTACCAACGATGAAAGGGTGAACCTAAACTCGTTCTAATAGACCATAGTAACATTAACCTCGAGAACCAAGATAAAGAGGCTAAGACCTCTAAAATTCGAGATGAAAATATACATTTCACGGGAAATAATATCAAATCCCAGTTGGATCTCGAACCAACATCTTCAATGAATAAAAGACAGATAGCCCTGATGCTGATCAGATGCATTTATGGAAAGACATGAGGGTGAAATCAGACATGATGGTGGCTAAGGATACTTCCATTCGAATCTGGAATAATTTTATTAATTTTAGAATTATGTTTTTCTCAAGTTTCTTATAATTCATAACTTGATTTTTTTTGCACTACTCTGTTCTCTTATTTCGGTATTTATTCAGTACTAGCAATACATTGTTTAGATAACAGAACCTTGTTGACCCATGGTTTTTATTCATGAAGGGCATTATTTTATCGGTTTAGCCTTTAAATATTTGGAACGTATACATATTTTAGGTTCAAAATATGTGATCGCACTTTGTAATAATATTAAAAATAATATTTGGATCACTTCAAATACATTCTCATGAAGAAAGACTAGGCCAATATTAAAGAGAACAAAATATAGGCTGGTAGCCTGTAGTTGAACCGGAAATAAAAACGTTTCATCCACTACAACGGCATACATCTCCAGTGGTATGTGCGTTGACTGCGAGAACGAAAATATTATATCTCGAAGTCTCAGCAACGACTGACGTATTCACTCGTATTTCAGAGGGTGAAGGAGGCGACGGTGGGATGGTGATATGGGGGATGCTTAATATAGTGTAATAACTATAATGGTGTTTTCCAGAAAAGTAATTTTTTTCTATTATTTATCTTATGAAAATTATATGGATCAATGAATTTGCTGTTCATATCCAACAGATATATTAGGAAATCTTCTATGTGTAGCAATGTAATCTATTTACCTCACTGCACTCTTTGGTATAGACCCATACAGAAGTACACTGAGACCCCTGTAAAGACCAAAAAATCCATGACTCTTCACAGTTTTTTTCACGCAATCGGCTATCCCGCTGTATTGCTTTTTGCCACCTTTTTCGTCCAACTGGAGCTGTGTTTTGACGTATTCTGTAGGATAGGTTATACAAATTTCGATTCCTCCAGTAATACCACCTGAAAATTGAGTATGTAATTATGATGATACATTTTTATTTTTTCAGAGGGTATATAATTAGTATTTTTCTATAGTCCTTTGAGTTTCATAATGACATTTCAGACTTACCAGCTTTTGGACGCTAGAGTCCAAATAGTTACAAAAAATTGAGTGTAATGTAATGTAATGCATATTTATTATAAAGTGAAACCAGAAGATTTTTTCTATTAACAGACTGATATAAAATTTTACTTGGGGGTTTTTTGCTTTGCATTAGACCAACCGAAACATCACAATCATTCGTAACGTGAAAAGAATAATTTTTCTACAAAAACACCTAAAAACTAGTACCAAAGAACAGGTGTTCGAAAAAGTTTAAAATACGAGTGTTACAATGATAAGTTATTGTAAGATTTAGGAGTATAAACTTATCCATACACCACACCCTTCAAGGTCACATCACAGTGACTTCACCAAACAACAACCAATAAAAAAGCAATTAATACGTCATAGTGGTGGGGGGAGGCTTAGAACCGGCTCAAATCTCCTACTAACCAGTAATTTCTCTTTGATGTTTCTATTCACCAAGGAGTTATCATCTAGGAAAATTCTTTACGAGTTCAGCTTTTGATAATGGATAAAAAGCTATAACAATCATAACTGATAAAAATTTCAAAGATAGTTTCCAACAATTGGTATTGGTGTGTTCAAATTATTATTACTGTTATAATTTAAAATCAAGTCCAGTTTCATGTCGGTCTGTTAATTGAAAAAAAATTCATATGTTACCCACTATAATGGGGTTACTGTAACAATGTTAGTGTGCTACCAAATTTTCCGCTTTATTTTAGGTAAAAGACAGGGTTCTAACAGTTTCTTTATTGCAATTTTTTTTGCACCAAAATCTATAATTTTTTACTGAAACTCAATCTCCACGTCGTTCATTTTGGGTCAAATTGGAGATATAACGTAATTTCTATTTGATTTCTCTATTTACTACGGAGTTATCATCTAGGAAAATTCATTTTTTGAGAATGGATTAAAACTTATAACTATCATAACTGATAGAAATTTCAAAGATTGTTTCCAAAAATTACTCAGAAAACCAAAGATGTTACCAATGTAAATATGAAAATATAAAGGAAATCAAGTTTCCTGACCAGAGAGTCGGATGTATACGATTATAATACCAGAAATGCCAATGCGGTCAGATCAAATCTTTCTCGATTGTGGAATGCCAAACTATGTAGTGGAGTCGTCTCGACAAAATTATTCACAGTAATTTTCGTGCAGAATTTAAAGTTTTCTTTCTAAGAGAAAATTATAAAAAACATTCGAAAATATATTTTGAGCCATTGCTTTTACTTTTTCAATGAATACTGAAGGTGAAGATGCAGTTTTGATGTTTGGGAAGCAGTGCTTGTATTGGATTTATTCTACGTTAGAGGTTCCAATTCCACATTTCATATTACACCAACTCTGCCAATATTACTTGATGAAAATGAACACTATCTATGATAATAATCCAACAATTTTCACACTATGAACTTTACTCAAAACGCGTTTCACTCTACGGTAACTTCTCCAGCTCAATTGAAGATTCTTTACAGGGTGTCCCATATAAAACTCCACGGGAAAATTAAATAGAATATCCATATTTCGTGAAATCGGATGACTTTTATCTCAAAGAGTCCTCTTACTTACGTAGAGATCCAGTACTACGCGTCATCCGTTAGGGTGTCGCGACACCGTCGCCATTTTTTTTAAAATAGCAACCCAGATTTTTCAATTTACTTTTGGATTTTGCTTCGTATTCTGATTTCACCCATACAGCACACTTATAGTTTCCCTTGAATACTGATGGAAGAAGGCAATTTTATTGCATATTATAATATAAAAAGGGCCATGAATAAGTCAAAAAAATGCGATAACGTAATCACATAGTTCTACGAGACAAATAGCAATGGATACAAAATACCACGTATTTTATCAAAAAACAAATTCCATCAATACAAATTACATCAGCTTGAAAGACTACATACGGGTAATAGTCTTTATGTTTAATTTTTAATAACTATAATATATTTCCATACTTATGAGATACTGATNTTAAAGAACATCGAACTGATAAGTTAAACATATTTTTTTAAATACGCTTAAAACAATAACGAACGAAAAATACTAGTATTATTGTGGAAAAACCGTGGGCGCTTTGTGCCATATTTTTTGTAAATCAAGCGCCCGTCGCTTTTTTCACAATAATACTAGCATTTTTCGTTCGTTATTGTTTCAAGCTTGTTTAAAAAATATTCTCAACTTTTTAGTTCGATGTTCTTTAAAAGCGTGTTTTTTAGTTTTTTATATTTATTCATCAGTATTCTAGGAAAACTACAAGTGTGCAATATAGCTGAATTTAAATTTTGATGCAGGATCCAAAAACAAATTAAAACATCTGGGTTATCATTTGAAAAATTGGCGTCGGTGTAGCGACGCCCTAACGGATGACGTCTAGTGCTGGATCTCTACGTAAAACCATCTGCTTTCACGAAATATGGATATTCTCTTTCATTTTCCATATATTTGCCCACGGAGTTTTATATGGGACACCCTGTATTCTGTGTAACGAAACATGGTATGAGCATAAGGAAAAGTAAACTAAAATGATTGTAGTCTTCTGATCGTCTTGTGTAGTCTTGAATAATACTGGAGTCTATGTGCAAGTATCACAAGTTGTTCATTTGTGGTGGGTAATACACTGAACAAATGATCCTATTTAGGTCGTGATATTTCCAAAACTTTAAAAATATGTAATTTTGATGGAACTGTTACCGAAACTATTCCTCTTTGAGTGTCAACTTAGTGGAGGCACACTATTGAGAGCAATCACGTTTTCAAACATATCATTGAAACCTAAATAACTCCACACAGTATTTAGTTCTACTTCATTTCTTCGATTAAGTCACTCTAAAGATCTCAGAGTATATATTTTATCGCAAACCAGATTGTGCATAATGAAACAATGATAATGAAGCTGTTATCTTAAAAATGACATTAAATTGAATGTGTCGAGTATATAAAATGACCTTCAGTGTATTTTGAAAGATAACGATATAATTGTTGGATACTTGATGGAAATCTATAATATATTTATATTATATGTACTGAGTCCGTATGAACATGCCTGAAGAAGTTATCGTATAGTGAAACACATATTGCGGTTTTGTAACATGTCTTGATTAGTAAATTATTGGTACTGCTTAATAATTATGTCAATACCCTAAGGGGTATTGTTNCCACTGTTTTATGGTCAACTTACTTTCCGTAAACAAAGTTATGCTGACCCCATTTGGGGACACCTAATGCATCATAATGTACAAGATAGAAATCGTAATACACAGAAATTTACTCCATTATAACGTCAAACGATAGAAATCGCAATTGATCATATAGTACAAGATAGAAACGTACAGGTACTCCATTAAAATGTACTCTCTATTTGACTGTTGATATCGCTATCGTCAACGTCTTACTAGTTTCTGTTTCAATTTTTTGCAATGGCTTCGTCTAGATGGACGTGTGTAAACAATCCAAATAGATTTTGTCACATTTGTGGCAAATATACATTCAAAAAATTTTCTTTAAATGTTCTGGATACCCTGATTAATCACCTCAATAATAATGGATTCTACACAATGGCATATGCAGATGACATAGTTATCTTGCAGACCGGCATATTTGTGAACACACTGTGCGATACAGCGCAGGATGGGCTCAAATTAATAGAAACATGGTGTAAGGAACACTTACTGTCGATCAATCCCAAGAAGACTGAGATGGTGCTTTTCACCAGGTTTATCGGGCTTAAAACCCCCCGAAATCTTCAAAAGCAAACTAAACTTCTCTGAAGAGGTGAAATACCTTGGTACTATCCTCGACAGGAAGCTAACATGGAACTCTCACCTACAGAGTAGAACAAAAAGAGCATATGTGGCTTATGAGCAATATCGGAGGATAGTGGGACGCGCATGGGGTCTTTCACCCGTGTGGTCACCTGGATCTACACTGGAATAATAAGACCTATGTAACGTACGGAGCCATTGCATGGAGACCGAAAGTTCCACATGCAACAATCATCCAAAAATTATATCAAATACAGAGCTGGCTTGTTTAAACATCACAGGAGCCATGAGAACAACACCAACCGCGGCAATGGAATTAATGACGGGTCTGACCCCTCCGGACCTGTACGTTAAAGAGGTTGCATTAATGGGCATGTTACGATTGCGCATGTTACGGCTGGGGTAAACCTTGAAGTAGGAATGGGTCAATTGAGGCTGAGCCTATGGCGAGAAGCGCTTACTGCGCAACCTCTGCTGCAGAATACCAGTGATGCAATTGAACCCAGATTTGTGTTTGATAAATCCTACAAAATAGAAATAAAACAGAACACAGAATCAGATGCTACAAATGCAATACGCATATATACAGAAGGCTCAAAAACCAAAGAAGGGTTAAGTGGGGAAGGGGAAAAAATACCACCGTGAAAACAGAACTGGCTGGTATCTCAATCGCCACAAAAGAAATAACCAGGAAAGGAACTTCTGGCAAAAACATAACAATCTGCACTGACAGCAGACAAGCCAAGGAAGTGGCAGGACTAAACATTTTAGGACCCAGTGGCACCCACGGCCTGATGACTTCGACAATTGCGAAACTAGCCAAATGTTACACCCATGCTCAATCCCCTCAATTCCTCAATGGAATCAAAGGATGCAATCTTGCCAGGATCACCCTAAGTGCTATGGGCTTGCACTCACCCTCCCTACTCTACAGATACAGATTCTTTTTAAATGTGTCGGACTTCGTGAAAAATGCCTACATGGAGTACTTTCAACGGCCATCGGAAGCAAATAACAAGCCCTGGATATCGAATATAGTGTGGAAAATGTGTGTGGAGTATTTACGACTATGGAAGAATAACAATAGGGGTCCCTTGAACCCCATTAGTCCTATGATTTGGCGGAAACTGTCGATCCACCAATACGACTGTTATTTCTGCGTCGTAAACATAATAGGAATTAACCGCCAAAATAATTCCAAGTGGGGTTATCCTACTGTGCCGTCAGTTATTAGATCTGCTTGCGTTCAAGTGATACATAATCTGAAAAATATAAAAATTATAATGGAGAACTTTATACAAGTGTAGTTTACCCCGATAACTTACTGTGTAAAATCAAAGTATTTTTCGCAAAGAATAATGTTCTATTTATTTTGTCGTATTATTCAACTTGTCGTATTCAACAATTTTGCCTATCAAAAAAATTGCTAATACCTATCTTTACGTTTCAGAGGGCAAAATCTGCCTCCGTCTTCAGAAATGGACAAAAAAAATTCTAAGATATTTGCAGTTATTCCTTTTGATTATTTATTTCTTAGCTTTTTCGACAGATATCAATGAAGTTTTGAAATATGTTGTTGAATGATAACTGAAACATTCAATGTAATACAAGGTGCTCTCCGATATCAGTCTGTTGCCATTCCGCCAATATCCAAATTCATCTTCAAGATGGGTAGCCAAGTAGGGTATATTTCTAAGAAGTTCGAAGTGCAATTCTCTCCAGAAAACTTTTTTGAATAATATCAACGAGCGGGAACCGACAATAAAGTTCACAATAGAGATTGAACAAGATGGTCGACTCCCTTTTCTTGATGTAATGTTGGAGAAATCATCAGATCAATTTGATACAAATGTTTATCGGAAGAAAACACATACAAATAGATATCTTCACTATACATCCAATCATCATGCGAGTGTTAAAAAAGGTATAATAAATTGTCTTTACAACAGACCTAAAACGATATGCAATTCAACTGAAAATTTCAATAAAGAAATATCATTAATTGAATCTGTTCTGAAATATAACGCTTATCCAGATTCGTTCATAAATTCAACGATAAATGCAATAGAAAATAAAGAGTCAAGTAAAAACCAAATGAACATACAAACAGCTTCACAAATTCAACAACATCCAACTAAACAATTACCGACTCAACATCCATCGACACCTTTCACAACTAACGTTATACCTTACATTCCANTAATATTTTATGTTTATCTCTGAATACATCTTTTTATGACAAAAAAAACAACTTTTTCATTGAAAATTGAAGCTGAAAATTGTATTGGTACCTGCAATAATTCCTTTAACGCCTGTATTCCCAGCTGCTGGTGCTGCAGCGCCATTTTCTTTCATCCACGGCCTCTTGAAGGGATAAACGAAGTTAGAGTTTGGAGGATTCATATTTGTCCTAGAATAAACCAAAGAACACCAATTTTATCACCAATTTTATATAAAAAAAAAGGAAATGTAGATCAGAGCATACCGAACAGATAGATTATATTTCAAAGCCAGTCGAAGAATACAAATTCACATATATTTTTCATCCAAATGAGTTGATTTAAAAATAAACCAGCAACAAATCAAATTTTATAATAATAGAATTAAGTGGAGTGTTAATGAAAGTAAAAATACCTTAATGGGGCTTTTGAGATAATGTTAGAGGATAAGCCAAGGTTAAAATATCACTCAGTGAACGAAGTAAGGTCTGTGATCGAGTGATCAAGTATAAGGTTACCTAATTTTCGTTGCGTTGTTATCAATTATTTATCTTTATCGATCAGTTTAATCACACTAACTTTCTGGAAACAACACACATACTTCTAACGTTCAATTATTACTAAACACGGTGTCGCGTTATGAGGTTATTTCCATGTCGGTTGTGAATTTTGGTGAGAGGGGGATTTATTTGTGTGGCAATGTCGGGGTATTATGTTTCTGAATGTGGTAAAGTTCGAACCTAATTGTTTTTCGAGCGATAGTATATAAGTCTATTTATGAACGTCATTTATGCTAGTCACCGTTGTTGCGTTGAAAGAGTAAATAACAAATAAATTGTGTGGGGTTCTCGCGGTCACAGTATTGCTGAGTTTATCGGGATTTTTGACCGTCGTCTCTTTGAGTGTTTCTCATTGTTTTCCCAATACAAGTGGCTGGTATCATCAGGGATATTGTCTTTATCAAGAATGCAACAGAAACTTTTGATCAGGAGACACAAATTAGACTTATTTTAGGTATTTACAGTTGTCAGTAAACGGGATGTTCGAAACTTATTGATGTTACTTTACAAGATGTGGTGGTAACATGATGCTGTTCAAACTGAGAGAAAATGATGATAATTTTTGGAAGACATTTAAGAACTGTTAAGTAGGTAGATCACTGTTTTTGTTTAAATTCCATCGTCCTCTTTTTAACATTGAGGAAAGACATTTAACTGAGCAAATAGAAAATTTACGTCTTACGCCTTGAATAATATTTCTTGTTAGTCTCTTATTTAATATGAAAAATGTACTATAGTTATCTATAGTGAAAAATATATTAAATAGTAGTAGTAGTAATAGAACTTCAAGTACGTCACTTAAACTGAGCTATTGATTTTGTTGACTTTAATTTTAAGAAGTCATTATTTTTCATCTTTTTTGAAACAATTCGAAATTAACCAGTTGTTTTACCAAAAAAAGTCGATGCTATTCTATTCTCCCATGACTTGCCGTTAGATAAAAAAGACTGAGATGCAGAGAAATGTTCAATATCTTATTCTCTGAAGAGGAATCTCAGACACACGGATGATACGATCAAAATAAAATAAATAAAAAAAATGTTAAACGGATTAACTGGCAAAACTCGTGAAAACAACAAGCATATGCAGAAGCTATCTTGTTACGGGGGGCAAATTTTATGGAATCATCTTACTTTTCA